CGCCGCTGGCCGCGCACTGGAGGGCTGTACACGAGGGTGCCTCACCCGCCTCTGGCCGCGCACTGGAGGGCTGTACACGAGGGTGCCTCACCCGCCTCTGGCCGCGCACTGGAGGGCTGTACACGAGGGTGCTTCACCCACCCCTGGCCGTGCACTTTCTTTTTTCCTGTTGGATGAACAATCTGACTACTAATGTGGATCAAGTACTCTTGGTTTTAATCTTGGCTCTTTGTTTTGAATTTACTGCTTATGGCCTTTGCTTCATCCAAGAATTTCCAAGAGTGAAATACATTCAATTCCTGATACAGGGCTGCTCATATATGCCTACGCTCTTTAAAAATGGCCAGCATGGTGGCTCAGATGCCGTCAGCCCCCAGGTGGCGCTCTGCTCTGCATGTGTGCAGTTTGTAAATCCTTCCTGTGCTGGGCAGGTTGCCTCTGTGTGTCTTTGTGGGACAGACTGGCATCCCATACAGGGTGTCCCCTTTCCTGTGCCCTTTGCTGCCTGGGAAATGCTCCAGCCCCCCCTGGATCAATGGTTTAATGAACTAGTGTGGCTGCACAAACTGGTCTCTCATGAAGTGTCTACACTCTACAGTAGGTCCATAACTGACTAGGAAGGAGACCATTAGGTTTAATTCCAATGTGAACACATAGAGCGACAAGTCAGCTAGGTCTGCCATTTTAGTTAAATAATTTTGCATGACACATCACCAAGGAAAACAATCAGTGTCCTGTTACCCTCGATTAGGGCCAAGTGTCTTACTCAAGCTGGAATCAAAGGTATCAGCTCTGCTGTGGATTGACTGACTGTGGAGTTGAGGCAGCCCGAGTGAAGTAGGGGCCACTTTGGCCCGCGGTCCGCAGGAACCAGGAGACGGAGCCCAGCATTGGTGAGACGTGCCGAAACAGCTCAAGAGGTTTACCACTAGTAAGGGATAACTCAAGTGCATATATGGCAGTTAAGTCAGTAATGCAGAAAAGCCGTTTTATCCTTCAAAGCAAAGGGAGCACATAGGATTTCAGCAGTGTACTACTTTAGACTTTGAGAGCCAGCGATAACTGGCTCAGATTTAATCTTAACATGTGTACCGTGTCATTGTAACATGTGTACCGTGTCATTGTAACATGTGTACCATGTCATTGTAACATGTGTACCGTGTCATTGTAACATGTGTACCGTGTCATTGTAACATGTGTACCGTGTCATTGTAACGTGTACTGTGTCATTGTAGGTGATCTAGTGTGTTTCATACTAAAGGCTCAAGTCGAACTCAACATTGACTTGACTTCCTTGCTGTTTACTGCATGGAAAACTCTGAGCAGGAGCAACTTCTAGGTTTGATCTCACACCAGGCTATCAGTACTGGCTGAGCATGTTTGACCCCCAAAGTCCAGTTTATTTGACTAGTGTGATCACTCCACACCAAGCCCAGTCACTGAAAGCCTCACACATGGGTGGACAACCACAAATCAAATGAGATTTCCACAACATGATTTTCTATTTGCTTTGAATATTTAGATATTTAAGTAACTGACAACAAGGCATCCAGCTGAAGGAAAAACAGGTAAGTGCAGAATTTTAACTTTGCAGTCATTTCTGTGCAAATGAGTTTAAATTTACACCCCCTGCAGAAAGTAACCTCTCCAGTGGAATGAGACATGGAGGTTCCCCATGTCATGTAGAAATCTTTTTAGTCTCCCTCATTTAACGCCAAGGAATATTAACTATAAACATCAGTATTTTTTCCCTGTTGTCTGGAAACAATTTGCAAGCATGAGAAAATTGGAAGGATAACTTTTTGGGGCGGGGTTGAGGCTTGTGGGGTAATGGAGTTAAATGTGTTATGTGCAGCTCACACCATTACAGTGTCCCACTGGCCAACTGGATCATGCAGCTAAGGGCCCTGGGCCATTGGCCATTACTGCTGCACAGATGATTACTGGCAAATGTGCCGTACCATGTGTGCCGATGGATTTGTATGGAAGAACAGCCCTCATTCCATAATCCTAGCATATTTTAAATACTGCCTATTAAAAAACCAGAGCATTTAAGCATTGATGATGTTACATTTCCATTCCAGAGTGTAAAGACAATGTATTAATATTTCTGTAAAAGTTATATCCCATGAATAAA